TAATGTTTATTATTGAAATTAAACCTTTTTTCTTCACGTTCTTGTCCATTATAAGATAGAACGGTACGAATTGAACTAAATACTTCTTCAGCTATTGCTCCTGCTTTACCATAAGCTTTTAATTCCATTGCTGTTAAACTGGAAACAAGCTACAAAACAAAATATCATTACGATCTAAACTAATTTGGCTTTTCTTGAATAAAAAAATTATACTTTAGAAAAGAGCGCAACTGATATAAATAGTAATGGAGATAAAGATAACATAGCCAATGTTAACTTCCATCCTTTAATAAAGCCTATACATAAAATTTATTAAAAAAAAAATAGTAATTTTCTATTCACATATATGTATATATAAACTTGCCCACAGTTAATCCAAAAACAAAAATTGCTATAAATTGTGATGATAAACCAAGTATGTCTCCAATTCCATCATGAATTTTATCTACATTATCTGTTAATTTTGTATATAATTCACCAGCTTTGTGTATATCAAAATAAACAATTTCTTTTCGAAGAATTGATTGAAATATTTTTTTTCTAATAGCTTTTGTTTGTCTTTCAGCTGCCATACTCCAAAATGTAACTTGAATATAACTCAATACAAGACAAATGCAACCAATGATGACAACATATAAGATTTGCTTCTGTATTGCACCTTGAAAGTCGAATGTAGTTTGATTAAAATGACAAATACTAATAAATCATAATGATTATTTTTAAGGTCTACTTGTTTCTAAACGCATACTTACAATGATGATGAAAAATAATTCGATGCTACTAATTGATAACCTGGTGGACAATATTGAATAGCAAGAGCTGTAAAATTAAGTGTACATATATCAGTAGATCGAGCAGTAAATGAATTTAGAAGATTTCCAATTAAAAACAGCAATACTGCGAAAGTCGCACCATTGCCTATACCTCCTGTAGTACCAATTAACATGTAGATTATATCCAGTGTTGTGGCATATCGAAACTAAAATATATACAACGATTTTTATTCAACAAGAACTGGTTATCACTTACCAAACTTGGAATGCTGACAGTTTCAATAGGCTTTTTATTTTCTGTTTTAGCACAAGTCTTTTGAAAGGAATTTTGTGTATCAAAATTTTTTTCATTATTCGATGAAGTAACACTGTATAAGAAAAGAAGAATATGATAATTAAGTTTTATTGTTTATCATACTTTTTGTCAATAGTTTCATTTTGATCCATATCAACAATTTCTTTTTTGTTATATCTCTTTTCATCGTACTTATCACTCATTATGTAAACTTTAGTCGAAGAAATTACTTATAATAATCTGATTTAAATGTTTAGTTTATTTATGTTTTTGTTCTCATATATATGTCAATATCGTCCTATTTTACACCTGAATAACCATACATCGTCATGTATTCACATATTTATCATGACGTATTTTATTCGCATGTGTAAATCCATTTAATCTTCTATCTTTAGGACATGCTTTAGTGATGTAATTCAGGTGAGTCAAGTGCGACTAATATATGACGTGTAAATTGGTTAATACAGATAGATATACTGCTTATTAAGAAAGCACTAAAATAGCTATATACGAAAAAAAAACCAGAGTAGACATTATAAATATATAGGCCATCGAAGTACAAATGGAACATAAATGATTGCACTGAGTTATCCTGTGATACTTGTTTGTTTCTATAAATGTTTAACATCTAATAACTTACTTTTAATACTGTACAATCATTGACTAAATGTGTATATGACTTTGTATACTTTTTTCCGGCAGTATTGAGATCACGGTGTTAATTTACTCCAAAATATTTAACGAGAAACAAGATTCTTGCACAATTAAACATAATTCTATCTGTATATGGGTGATTATATCAAGAAACAGAAGATTTATGCGATAACTTATGAATATATATTAGAATACAATAGAAAAAAAGAACAAAAAATCCTTAGTTAAATGCACGAAGCCGGAAACAAAATGAATCAGACGAATTCAATTTACGGAATGAGTTTTGATTTTTCTGTCTAATATAACTATTATTTATTTCTTATTTGAACAATTTGATTCTTACGATATTTAGAATAAGAAATATAGAGTCGGATGAATTTTTGAACAAAACGAAAAAAGAACTCATTTACGTGGCTGCGAAAACTATGTATTATGCTGAAGGATCAAAAAGAATCAATACTGTTTTATATAAGTAAATTCTCTTCTTTTATTTACTTTATTACCAATAATTAATTAACAAAAAAAAAACAAGCAATTAGAATTTATATCTCGGTGAGAATGACGTATTGATAATAATCGTTATTGTTTGCTATGTTTAATTTCATATCTTGCATTTTAGTGTTTGTCTAGTGGTGAGTCATCACCATTTACATATATATCTGTACATATATATGTGTCCTTTTACCTGTA